CGGATAAGAAAATATAAAAGTTACTAGTAGATAGATACTTCATGACATTAAAAATACGGTAAATTGTCAATTGATGACACAGCGTTTGACGCTAACGAGTCGGGACGTTACTACATCAATATTTAGTTCGTATATATATATTATAATCAACGTCCTCCTCCCACTGTGATGATACATAATGTGTGTCCTGAATGAATGTGTGTCCTGGTGGAGACCCCGGGACGGTGTGTGCGCCAGGGGGCAGGTCATGACCCCTCCACCCACTGGGGTCCATAGTCAAGATTGTTGACACTTGACGCACTTCCTTACTCGCTCTCAAATCATCGTCTGGCGAATTTGCCTCGAGGTTAAAATTACCAGTTTGTTCTTTCTCCCACCGTGAAGATTTTACGGCATTCGCCGCTGTTGGCGAGGTTTAATGTCTTGTATAGGAGTGACTGGGACGTGGACGTGGACGGGGACGGGGACGTTTTCGGGGAGGTAGCAGGGACGTAGACGGGGAAGTTACTGGGACGCGGACGGTGGGGTGTCTGCCCTCTGGCCAGGTTTGATGTAGCTCGGCGCGTGTTGTGAGCGGTTGTGACCCCGTGTGAACCCCAGACGTAACTATCTGCTGACGGCCCGTGGCTCCACCTGGTGTAAACACTCCCACGGGAGCCTGTCCCGGAAGGTCTCTGAATACCCGTCATTTTGACTTCTAAAGTGACCGAGGAAGGGGTCCTCTTTCTCCCGGTGAATGGAAGGATCACTAGCAATCCTTGAAAAGACGTGTGCCTCAATGAGTTCATTTGGAAGGAGAATTTGCCACCTCTTGAGAGTTGTTAGTGGCACACTCAACTGTTTGTGTTGGCAATACTGTGATGGTGGTGTTGACTTTTCCCAACTTTAAAAACATAGGCGTTAGAATTAGGGAAGTGAAACTGCGTGAGAATCTGAACGGCTATTTTTTTTTAGTTGATATTCAGCCACAGACGCGGACGTTCATGTATACAATGGTAACCAAAGTTATTTTGTTCGGTCCTGTATGGTCAGAGTTAGAGATCTGTTAGACAATATTTAGTGCAGTAAAATCACTGCCACACAAGGTGACTTTAAGTGCTTTTACAATGGTTGCTTCTATGCACACTTCTATGTGTGTTCTACATGTGATCTGTCACAGTGCATGGAGAGTTATTGTGCATTCAACCACATGAGGTGATGGAGCAGGTATGTGTTGATGGGTGTGGAAGCTCAGAATATGTGCATAAGAGCGGTCAAGTGTTGTTTGAGGACATGGACTTCCAACACGAAAATCAGGGAGTGCGAGGGATATCAGAGATCATAGCTGTTTTCCCCCTCACTTCCCCCATCACCCATACTGCTCCCCCTCCCCGTGGCCCATCAGAGGAATCCCTCAGGGGCGTCCTGAGGGCCACAGCTGTCTCTGACCACTTTACCATAAGCTCCGTGTGGATAACTTAAAAAAGTGGTTAATTTTTCTGGTGTGGTGCTCGCTGACGAGAAGCCTTCAATACACAGTTATTTATAATATATATTTAAAAATTCAGGTTAAAATATTTGTCCCATGACCCGAGTCTCTCGTGGGCACTACTACTGATAATAATGTGGAGACCCAGAGCCTCGCGGAAGGTAATAAAGTAGAATCAGTGACGACTTTGTGGCCTCTTCCTGAATATTGTTGAGTAATTTTTGCCTATCATCCATACTTGATTCTTAAATAACTTTACTTCCGACCGGATTTCTAGACTTAAAGGTTTGTGACATCATCAGAGGAATTTTCAATCGGATCCTTTGAACATATAAGATGCCTCAGATGCTTTGCGGAATGTTTTAATGGACTCTTTCTGCCTAGTAGTTCACCTTGTGGTCCCGGCTACAAGGGCTTCGGGTGAGAGACAAGCAACTGTGGCATATTTGCCAAGATTAAACGTGTGGTTCTGTTCATCACTATGGCTTGAATACAACCTCACATTCACTATATACATCACTATAACTTGTATATAGTGAACATGAAGTTGTATTCATCACTATGACTTGTATATACTGAACATGAAGTTGTATTCATCACTATGACTTGTATATAGTGAACATGAAGTTGTATTCATCACTATGACTTGTATATACTGAACATGAAGTTGTATTCATCACTATGACTTGTATATAGTGAACATGAGATCCGTTCATCTCCTCCTCGTCTCCGTTCCATCTCCCTCCCACTCTAATAAGATACATACCATCCGGCCCCCATGACCAACACACCAGTCATCATATACCATCCGGCCCCCATGACCAACACCCCAGACATCACATACCATCCGGCCCCCATGACCAGCACCCCAGATATCACATACCATCCGGCCCCCATGACCAGCACCCCAGATATCACATACCATCCGGCCCCCATGACCAGCACCCCAGATATCACATACCATCCGGCCCCCATGACCAACACCCCAGATATCACATACCATCCGGCCCCCATGACCAACACCCCAGACCCCTACACCGTGCTACTCGCGGCGTCAACAACATACTCAAGCAGGAACTCATAAGACGTAAATAAGAGACTTCTACAAGCCCCATTCACTCAACGGAGCCCAGAGTTGAATAGCCAGCATTTACCAACAGCTTCGTGAAACTGCAGTTGGTAATTTTCTCCGTAAGAAGCTTACGCATCTCAATTTAGTGTTGCAAATTGCAAATCCTAGGTGCTGGAGGAGGGATCCTGGCGGCAAGTTGCAATGTGCGTTCAATTTTGTTTGGTCGGTGGAGCGTCGTGGGAATCCTGGTATCTTTCCCCTCCGACTGGAGGGTGAAGGTGTTCGGGAGGTGGGTGTTCGGGGTGACAGGAAGTGGAAAAGGGGTGTTCGGATGACGGGAAGTGGAAATGAGAGTGTTCGGGTGACGGGTAACTACAGGCGGAGGTCGTGATCGTTTCCAAAAAACTATTTCTTCAAAATTAGAAAAAATATGTTTCCGGCTCCCGCCGACTTGACTGCGCCTCGGGGCAACGAGAGATAAATCCGAGGCAGCTAAGCGCTCAATATCGTAATAAAACACAAAACTTTATTACCGAGGCTTTTATTACATTTTTATTGTGAAACAACGGATTTGCTGAGAACTGAACCGAGTGCCTTTACTCGTCTCTTGCAGTCTTGTAGTGGAGCCGCCCACAGTATCAATACTTGTATATATATTTTAAACGACTTGCATTATTAAATAGTCGAAATGACACAAGACAATACACACACACACACTCATATATATATATATATATATATATATATATATATATATATATATATATATATATATATATATATATATATATATATATATATATATATATAATGTAATATAATTTCAATATAAGTTATTAACAATGAAAGTTGCTGTAAAAAATAAAATGTTTTCATCCTGTAATAAGACAGGAATGAAAGACTCCCACACAAGTTAAACAGGTCGAGGTAAGTTTCCTGCCTTAATGGCAGGGTTGTGGCGGCGCCTGTGTTGGTGGGCCCAGTGGTGGCGCCTGTGTTGGTGGGCCCAGTTGTGGCGCCTGTGTTGGTGGGCCCAGTGGTGGCGCCTGTGTTGGTGGGCCCAGTGGTGGCGCCTGTGTTGGTGGGCCCAGTGGTGGCGCCTGTGTTGGTGGGCCCAGTGTGGCGCCTGTGTTGGTGGGCCCAGTGTGGCGCCTGTGTTGGTGGGCCCAGTGGTGGCGCCTGTGTTGGTGGGCCCAGTGGTGGCGCCTGTGTTGGTGGCGCCTGTGTTGGTGGGCCCAGTGGTGGCGCCTGTGTTGGTGGGCCCAGTGTGGCGCCTGTGTTGGTGGGCCCAGTGTGGCGCCTGTGTTGGTGGGCCCAGTGGTGGCGCCTGTGTTGGTGGGCCCAGTGGTGGCGCCTGTGTTGGTGGGCCCAGTGTGGCGCCTGTGTTGGTGGGCCCAGTGGTGGCGCCTGTGTTGGTGGGCCCAGTGGTGGCGCCTGTGTTGGTGGGCCCAGTGTGGCGCCTGTGTTGGTGGGCCCAGTGTGGCGCCTGTGTTGGAGGGTCCAGCGGTGGCGCCGGACCCAGGGGCCACAGAGGGGGGCCTCACCCAGGGGGCCCTGATCCAGGGGACCAGAGAGACGGCTCTGGTCAGGTGTCGACCACAACGCTTCTCGTTGCTCTTCATAACAGTGTATTTATTATTTATTATTAGTGAGTCAGCTGCAACAGTGCAAGTATTGACGTCATGCTTCACATGTTATGGACCATATGGAGCATTTATCGTCGGATTTTGTTAGAAAGAGCATTGTCATTTATGCTCCCAAAAATAGCCAGCTAGTGTTGGCTTTATATAATGGATCATTCACACCGCGTCATGAATGGCCAAAATGGCGTGGTTGACGTCAACTGGGGCTTTAACCACTCAACAAGTATTGAGTTGTTGCGCAATATATTATGCACGCAATACATACACAATGTATTGCGTGTATAATTTGTGTGATGTTTGAGTTATCTTGGTCAGCCTGGTGCTGGTGGAGGCCCAGGCTGTGTAGGGAGGGGAGGCAGGGAGAGAGAGAGAGAGGGAGAGATGGGGAGAGATTGGGGCGTGCATGAGAGAGAGGGGGAAGAGTGTGGTGAGGGGAGAGAGAGAGAAGGGGAGACCTAGTTAAACTAACCTAACCTAATTAATTAACTTTATTAACACACTACACAAAAAAGTAGAAAGGAGGGAGAGTGGGGGAGCAGAGACAGAGGAGGGGGATGATAGAATGGGGAGAGGGGAGAGAGTCAATGGGGAGAGAGAGGGAAGGGCGTGACTACAGAGATAAGGAAGGACATTAAGGAGCTTATGAGCCACCTAGCGGGCACTTCCTCCCCGCCACCTTCAGGAAAACATCACGTGACATAAAGCCTTCAAAACAGTTAACTTACAGCTCTGAAGTTCCCGTGAATGATGACCCTCTGTTGCAAATTAAGTTCATAAAATGTGTTAAACAGTAGGAGTTGTGATGGTGATGGTAATGATGGTGGTGATAGTGGTGCCCTTAGCTACTAATGACACCCACAGCAAGACCAATGCCGTCTTCTTCAAGGTATAGCACACAATATATAATTATAAAGTTAAATAGCTACACCAAGCAGAGGCAAGTGGGCCGCCTCCTTCAAGAGGAAGCAACTCTGCTCTCTCCAGAGGACCATGTTTTGATCTCTGGCTCCCCACTGGGCCAACCTCAGCCAACACACACCACACATTTCCAATTCAAGACCTGTAACAGGCTTCTGTGATGACGTAGAGGAAGAGATTGATTGAGATTGAGAGAGAGAGAGAGAGAGAGAGAGAGAGAGAGAGAGAGAGAGAGAGAGAGAGAGAGAGAGAGAGAGAGAGAGAGAGTGATGCTTACAATGAACTATGGGAAGGACTCTCAGGGCTATAGGAAGGAGTCTCAGGGCTATGGGAAGGGGTCTCAGGGCTATAGGAATGGCTCTTAGAGCTGTGGGAAGGGCTCTCAGGGCTGTGGGAAGGGCTCTCAGGGCTATAGGAAGGGCTCTCAGGGCTATGAGAAGGGCTCTCAGGGCTATGGGAAGGGCTTTCAGGGCTGTGGGAAGGGCTTTCAGGGCTATGGGAAGGGCTCTCAGGGCTATGAGAAGGGCTCTCAGGGCTATGAGAAGGGCTCTCAGAGCTGTGGGAAGGGCTCTCAGGGCTATAGGAATGACTCTCAGAACTATGAGAAGGGCGCTCAGGGCTATGGGAAGGGCTCTCAGCGCTATGGGAAGGGAAAGCTCTCAGCCAACCACCAGGATTTAGAGAGACATTGGAGTCACCTTCAGAAACCTACAAACAACGTCCTCGTGAGCATCTTATAAACTGTTGCATTTGTTTTTATAAAGGAAATTTCGATAAATGTAATTTTTAAATGTGTCTGCAATGTTGCATACAAATATAAGTTCATATTTTATTAATTCGTACCGGATGTTTTAATTAACCTGTCTGTCTGTCTGTCTGTCTGTCTGTCTGTCTGTCTGTCTGTCTGTCTGTCTGTCTGTCTGTCTGTCTAGTGTAACACGGTGGGGCTGTACTCACCTAATTGTACTCACCTAATTGTGCTTGCGGGGGTTGAGCTTTGTCTCTTTGGTCCCGTCTCTCAACTGTCAATCAACTGGTGTACAGATTCCTGAGCCTACTGGGCTCTATCATATCTACACTTGAAACTGTCTATGGAGTCAGCCTCCACCACATCACTTATTAGTGCATTCCATTTATTAACTACTCTGACACTGAAAAAATTCTTTCTAACGTCCCTGTGGCTCATCTGGGGTACTAAGTTTCCACCTGTGTCCCCTTGTTCGCGTTCCCACCCGCGCTAAAGAGTTTGTCCTTGTCCCCCCTGTCAATTCCCCTGGGAATTTTGTAGGTTGTTATCATGTCTCCCCTTACTCTTCTGTTTTCCAGGGTTGTGAGGTTCAGCTCCCTGTGTGTGTGGGGGGGGGGGGGAGTCACAGGACCAATAGCACCGGACCAGCCTGTGTCCTTCGTGCTGTTATCATAACAGTATACTTTCTTAGGCTCATACAGCTACTTATGTGGTTCTTAAAATATTTTCTGAGAGAAGGAGAAGATGGGGGGGGGGAAAGCAAGGTGGAAGGTGGGTGATAGATGGATAGATAGACGAATATATAGATGGATAGATGCATAGATGGTTCGAGAAATGAGTAGATATATGAGTAGAAAAAACAGATAGACAAAGTGAAAGATGGAAAAATAGATGGATAGACTGATGAATATATATGTAAACTGATAGATGCATAGAAGACAGATAGACCCGGGCACCGCTGGGTACCACCCCCCCCCCCCCTGTAGTATAGATATATATGATCTTCACTGTGTGGGCCCCAGTCATTATTTATCTATTTTATTATTTATTGATGACGATTTTCAATATTTGAAAAAATAGTATAAGATATGCGTTTTTTATGTCGAATAAGCAAACTTGATACTAAATTAAATATCAAATTAAATCCCGCTATGATGAGCCTTTTGAAACTCAACATTTCCAGAGTAATGAGAAATATTTACCTCACATTCTCCCTGGCAACACTTCCACAGTCAGGTGACAGTCTTCCTGGTGCCAGTCGAAGCCTCCACAGTCACGTCACAGTCTTCCTGGTGCCAGTCGAAGCCTCCACAGTCACGTCACAGTCTTCATGGTGCCAGTCGAGGCCTCCACAGTCACGTCACAGTCTTCCTGGCGCCAATCGAAGCCTCCACAGTCACGTCACAGTCTTCCTGGTGCCAGTCGAAGCCTCCACAGTCACGTCACAGTCTTCCTGGCGCCAGTCGAAGCCTCCACAGTCACGTCACAGTCTTCCTGGCGCCAGTCGAAGCCTCCACAGTCACGTCACAGTCTTCCTGGCGCCAGTCGAAGCCTCCACAGTCACGTCACAGTCTTCCTGGCGCCAGTCGAAGCCTCCACAGTCACGTCACAGTCTTCCTGGCGCCAGTCGAAGCCTCCACAGTCACGTCACAGTCTTCCTGGCGCCAGTCGAAGCCTCCACAGTCACGTCACAGTCTTCCTGGTGCCAGTCGAAGCCTCCACAGTCACGTCACAGTCTTCCTGGCGCCAGTCGAAGCCTCCACAGTCACGTCACAGTCTTCCTGGTGCCAGTCGAAGCCTCCACAGTCACGTCACAGTCTTCCTGGCGCCAGTCGAGGCCTCCACAGTCACGTCACAGTCTTCCTGGTGCCAGTCGAAGCCTCCACAGTCACGTCACAGTCTTCCTGGCGCCAGTCGAAGCCTCCACAGTCACGTCACAGTCTTCCTGGTGCCAGTCGAAGCCTCCACAGTCACGTCACAGTCTTCCTGGCGCCAGTCGAAGCCTCCACAGTCACGTCACAGTCTTCCTTTTGCCAGTCGAGGCCTCCACAGTCACGTCACAGTCTTCCTGGTGCCAGTCGAAGCCTCCACAGTCACGTCACAGTCTTCCTTTTGCCAGTCGAAGCCTCCACAGTCACGTCACAGTCTTCCTGGCGCCAGTCGAGGCTTCCTCCAAATTTCCTTCACGTCGTTTCGCCAGCTTTAAAGGTATTTGATAAAAACATAAAATAGCACAAAATGCTGCCAGATTCTCACACTATGGACCAAACTTAGTTCACCAGCTTGCCGACTTCTGCAAGAATGGCGCTGTCATCACAGTCAACGTGATGGCCGCCATCTGCACTTCTAACGGATGATATTCAGCAGAAATAGTACGCCACGAACCAGTTCCCAAGCCAAGAACTACATTTTTCTTTCAGATATACAGAGGCTTGTCTGTGGCTGTAGAGGAGAGATGGTGGCAGAGAGCTGACAAAGATGGTGTGTGTGCCCGGTGCTGTGGTCAGCAGGCGCCACAGTCATGGCCACAGTCATGGACACAGTCATGGACACAGTCATGGACACAGTCATGGCCACAGTCTACTCGATATATTTAATCCCTCTCCGAGAGGTCACGAAGCAGCCGCAACGAAGGAGATATCTCATGGTCGTAGTTCGCTCTTCACGGTTCCGTGGCGCTGCTGCTGTCTGGCTGAGTGCTGTGCCCGCCTGCCGCTGCTCCCCTAGCTGTGCCCGCCTGCCGCTGCTCCCCTAGCTGTGCCCGCCTGCCGCTGCTCCCCTAGCTGTGCCCGCCTGCCGCTGCTCCCCTAGCTGTGCCCGCCTGCCGCTGCTCCCCTAGCTGTGCCCGCCTGCCGCTGCTCCCCTAGCTGTGCCCGCCTGCCGCTGCTCCCCTAGCTGTGCCCGCCTGCCGCTGCTCCCCTAGCTGTGCCCGCCTGCCGCTGCTCCCCTAGCTGTGCCCGCCTGCCGCTGCTCCCCTAGCTGTGCCCGCCTGCCGCTGCTCCCCTAGCTGTGCCCGCCTGCCGCTGCTCCCCTAGCTGTGCCCGCCTGCCGCTGCTCCCCTAGCTGTCCATGAGTACTGTACCCGCCTGCCGCTGCTTCCCTAGCGGCCCCTGAAGTGCTGTGCCCGCCTGCCGCTGCTCCCCTAGCTGTGCCTGAGTGCTGTGCCCGCCTGCCGCTGTTCCCCTAGCAGTCCATGAGTACTGTACCCGCCTGCCGCTGCTTCCCTAGCGGCCCCTGAGGTGCTGTACCCGCCTGCCGCTGCTCCCCTAGCTGTGCCCGCCTGCCGCTGTTCCCCTAGCTGTCCATGAGTACTGTACCCGCCTGCCGCTGCTTCCCTAGCGGCCCCTGAGGTGCTGTACCCGCCTGCCGCTGCTCCCCTAGCTGTGCCCGCCTGCCGCTGTTCCCCTAGCTGTCCATGAGTACTGTGCCCGCCTGCCGCTGCTTCCCTAGCGGCCCCTGAAGTGCTGTACCCGCCTGCCGCTGCTCCCCTAGCAATAAACTAATCAAATGATCTATATAGTCTTATATAGATCTAGAAAAGCACGAGAGGTAGCTAGAAAAGAGGATGAGAGAGGATACTTAATGAAGACGAGGAGTCACAATAACCTGACTGAAGTATGTTGACCAGACCACACACTAGAAGGTGAAGGGACGACGACGTTTCGGTCCGTCCTGGACCATTCTCATGTCGATTGTGAGAATGGTCCAGGACGGACCGAAACGTCGTCGTCGTCGTCCCTTCACTTTCTAGTGTGTGGTCTGGTCAACAGGATACTCAATATAAATAGTTTAAGAGTGACCATAGTTGCTTTTCCCACTGAACACCACTACAAGAAGAGCGATGGATGGACGCTGGGGAACCAGTTGGGCCATACACATGTTCACAGATTTTTGTTAGCCTGAAAATTGTAAAAAAAATGGCCTAAACAAGATGAACTGAAGGAAAACAATTCCCTCTGTAACTTCAAGAGCAGGTATGCCAGACAGATAACTCAGGAGCCATTACATTAGACAACCGGCAGCTGGAAAAGTGGGTCCAAGAGCTGAAGCTCGATCATGAAGGTTTAAATAGATGAGTTCACACGCACACGCCTTGGTTTTTAATCTTGTCGGGATGACTGCCGCTCTTTTGTACAAACATCGGTGATTGGAATCTTATTGGAATATTTCTTGAGAGAATCACAGAGCTGCTGTCCAATCACTGAATTCTGTTTGTGATCAACATTTGTGAAGTAGAGCTCGTACCCTAGAGCCTCTCACTATAGAGCCTCTCACACTAGAGCCTTTCACACTAAGAGCCTTTCACACTAGAGCCCCTCTCACAAGGGGCACACAAATCTATATGAAATTGAACGACTGTCTGTCCGAAGTAGGAGGCCAGATGCTAATGGGTAGCCTTCCCCAACTTTCAGAGGTGTCATATAGGGGGTTATGGGAGTGCCATAGGCCAGTCAGGGACAGCCCTAGTGCCATCCCTTAAGAAATATCGGTGTATACTGTGACCCCTTCCCCTCCTGTGATTTCCACGATCTGTAATCAGATTTTTTTCTGTAGAACTTTAGCACTTTTTAAAGTGGGTCATGATATAACATTTTCTGATAGAGAAGTGGGTAGAGGAGAGGAGAAAGGTGAGAAGGGGTGTTGGGAGGGGGAAAGAGGGGGGAGAATGGTGGAGAGGGAGGGAGAGAGGACAAAGAGGAAATAGGGGAAGAGGTTAAGAGACAGGATCATTGGGGGTTAAGAGATGAGATGTAGGAAGAGATAGTAGGTAAAAGAGACCCGGGTCCAGCCAGCAAACCTTGTCATAGAACTCCAGTAACATAGTTTAGCAGAAATTGCATCATTGAAACTATATTGACGTTCGGAAGTAAGAGTTTGTTCCCTCAACACGAGTCATTAATGACCTCTTAATTACCGTCTCTGGCCCCGAGGTCCGCCTAGCTCTCTCCGGGTGCTTGCTGTACCGTCCTTAGGGAACACCTTTACCAGTGT